CATCAGTGACTTTCATTCCAAATTTCAGAAATTGAGTTCATTCCGTTTGTCCAATACAAAGCATTAAATTTTCAGTACTTTTCGTGCCCTTTTAGTGCGAATTTCCAAAAACCCAGCCTGTGCAAAAAATTAAGATTCTAGCTTTCTACCAGTAAAATCCAGCTACTCACTGTAAAATAACTGTCAACTTTTCTCTCTTGACTCGCTCTCTTTCACTTTCGAGAAAACGAAATAAAATTGGGTAACACTCGTCAGATATGGAGTAAACGGACACACTTATAGTTTAGCGCACAACTGTTAATGTTTTCAAATAAAAACTGAAAACCTTTTTTCCCCAAACGATTTATGGCATTACTGCCGAAGTTTCGCCGGATAGACAAAAATGTTTGACTTGTGCGTTATGGCAAGATAACATCGGTATTTAGTTACAACACATTTAGTCACATCTCGTGCCTCTTTTTTATGTAAATTTAAATGATGTCATTAGTCATAGGGTAAGTGTGCCTAAGTTCGGCATGTCCCAGTAGTCGGCACTTTTCATTTTTAAGCCCAAATAAATGAAACTATTATAAATAAATGTATTTTGTTTACTTCAAACATATTGTCAGCTATCTTTGTGTACAATTTCGCTAAGAAAAGATGATTTATTCTAATAAAAATTAAATTTTTGTCTGTGAAGGTCCTCAACAATCCATATTCTTTAGAAAAGTACAATAAAGACGTCGAATCAGTTTAACTAAACAAAAATATTATATTTTAATGAATTAATTTATTATTATTATTAATTATTCTTATAAAAAAATTGGTATGCCGACTGTTGGAACATGCCATACCGCCAATTGGCAAGTGGTGCCGACTACTGGCAAAAAAGCATTGTTTTAATAAAACTACAAATTTATGAAATTTAATAAAAAGTTATTAAAACTTTATTTATTACTGCAAAAACTATACAAAATTTCAAATCTGAATAAATTAACTTTGTAATAATTGAAAAGTTCCACTCAGAATGGTGAGCGATTAAAAACCCGAAAATCCTAAAAGTGCCGACTACTGGTACACTTACCCTATCAGGAAGTAGATGATAATACATGATGTAGGAGCGCAAAGAAAATCCACTAGGCTGCAGAATCATGAGCATCACCTCCTCATTTCGGTAACATTTAAAAAACTAAAAAAAGGCATTGTTGTTGCCATTCTTGTCACCATTTACATACCTTTTACATTTTTTCATTGTCTTCTTTTATTTATCAAAAAAAAATATTTTTATTTTCGTTACTCGATTTGAATATAAAGCAACAACATCGGCAGCAAAAAACTGAGCATAAAACTGTCGTCTTATTGTGCGGTTGTAACTCTCAGTTTTTTGTCTGAATTTTGTTGTTTTTGATTTTGATTTTCACTTTCTTTTCACCACCATCACCACACCACACACTGTGGAACCAGTTTTGGCAGATTATTATTTTTATAAGTAAACATTTCGTTTAAATATAATACAAATGATAAAAAATAATAATAATAATAACAATAATTGTGGCATCGAGTGTTTTTTTTTTTTCCTTTCAAATTACAACATTGGAGTTTACATCAGATTTTATCAAATAATGGAGAAAATTGAATAGTTTTCAAAATACAATACACTTGTTGCCGCATAACTAATTAAATGTTATTGATTTGTCAAAAGTTATAAAAGGCTTTTAAGAAAGCCTAAATGGAAATATGGAGCTACACGTGCGCACTCTGAAGTTAACCATTAGTTACGGATGTAGTGTAAAATTTCCATGACTCGAAATGTAAATTTATAATTCTTTATGGTGGCGTTAACCCTAAAATCAAACAGATAGAAGGCTTTTAATAAATGGTTTTGTTAGAACGGGTGCCTTACATTCTGAGTGTGGCGAGTCTTAATCAAGAATATAAAAATGAAACCGATTGCCGGATTTTGATAACAAAGTATATATATTCTTGATCAGCGTAAAATTCTAAGAAGGCCTCGACCTGTCCGTCCGTCCCTCTGTTGTAATCAAGCTAGAGCCAAAACAAACAAAGATAGGAGGCTAAAATTTTGCACAGTCTTTTGTCTGCAGGCAGGTCAAGTTCGAAGATTGTATTTAGAATTCCTAATAGGAACTACAGTTCCTATTACAGAAAATTGTTTTTGCAGGTCCAGGTCTTCGTATAGCCCCGATATAACGATACCTCCCTATATTCGGTATTTTGGTGATTTTAGCTACATTATTCCCCGAAATTTTTATTCATGTTTCGTATTTAAATTGAAATGGCTTATGACAAAATGTTGCCTATTCAGGTCCAAGTCAGGTACTTGTAAGATTTTAACAGAATTTTTAACGGATTTTATTTATTTATTTACTTATTATGTTATTTTATTTTTTAATCAAACCTTCATGCATCGTACTAAATTTTCTGACAAATCTGATCCGATCTTGACAAAATTTTAAACACTTATTTCTGAGCTGCATCCGATATCTGGTACTAAGGATTATTGTTATGAAGTGCATATTACGCATGTGAGGGACTTTAACACCAAGTTTGATAAAACGTATATATGGCAGCTTTAGCTACATCTGAACCGATGTTTACCAAATTTGATGTACTTACTTCGAGACTGAATTCGGTCGGATGTACCAAAATACAGGTCATTTGGAATGATATTGGCCATTTGGTGCACAATCAAACTAAAAACAGTTGAAGATATATATGGAAGCTATATCTAAATTGGAATCGATTCTCATCAATTTCAATAGGGTTCGTCCTTGGGTCAAACAAATATTGTTTGGAAAATTTCAAATAAATGTGACCTGCATTTTGTTCACAAAAATACATGGACGGACGGACAGACGGACTGACATGCATAAATCGACTCAGAAAATGATTCTATAAAAATCCTCAAAAGTAACTATGGGTCCTTTTTAGTATCCTTTGGTACATCTATCCTGCACTCCATCAGTGACTCTCATTCCACATTTCTAGCTCATTTCGTTTGTCCAATACAAAGTATTAAATTTTTAGTACATTTAAGTACTTTTCATATCCCTTCCATACCAATATCCAAAAACCCAGCCTTATCACACCAAGACTGACCCTCGTGCAAAATTTCAAGATTCTTGCTTCAGCCGTTTCGTCTGGGCCTTGATTCTCGATAGATTATAAAATCTATTCTTTGGTCAAAATATAGGAATATACTATTTTTGTAGAACATGCACCATGTTAGCATTACGCGAATTTTGTTTCCACTTTTCTATTGAGTTGTAATTAAAAGCTGGATATTTATTTCAAATGTCTTTCAAAATAACTAACATTAAGACTGAAGACATAAATTTGTCGAAATTGAAGACATATCCAACAGACATATTTATTCTTTTTAATGTAACTATTTCTACCCAACATCAGCTGTATCCTGTGAGAGCGAGATTACTAGATTTTAGGAATGTTTTTATGTTTGTTTGTAATTTATGGACTTGAAAACCGCTGAACAGATTTTCCTGAAAATTTCCAAGTATACTACAACATCGTCTGGAAGTAACATAGGCTATAGGTACCTCCCAAAAGTTTTTTACAGTGTCCAAATTTGGTATGTGGAAAGGAATTTGGAACAAAAATAGATTTGCCAAACTGTATTGAAATCGGTTCAAATTTGGATATAGCTCTCATATATATTTTTGGCCGATTTCACATATTTGATGCACCAAACACGATACGTATGTCTGATTCCAATGAAATTCGGCATGAGTGACTAAATTTGGATAAAAAATAAATTTGCTAAATTATATTGAAATCGGTACAAATTTGGATATAGCTCCCATATATATTTTCGGCCGATTTTACATATTTGATACACCCAACGCGATAAGTATGTCCGATTCCAATAAAATTCAGAAAGAGAGACGAAATTTGGTACAAATGTCAATTATATTGAAATCGGTCGTGGGTTGGGTACCAACAAATATTCGTATAAAAAATCTTCAGTTCATATAAAATCAAAAGGGGTATCGAAGCGCACCGGGTTCAGTTAGAATATATATTAAAGAATATTACATTGCTTTTTAAACGCCATTGTAGTGGTGTTAACTATCACATATAGCCCCATTTGGTTTGTCTGACATTGGATGCATTATTTCGTTGTCAAAACATCTTGGCATGGAACACTCTAGCCCATACTCTATACAACTTCGTCTCCTTAATTATCATATGAGTTTCTGTGAGTTGATCATGGCCTTCTCTTAACCAGATTATTTTGATAGAAAAATCTCTTATTTTATATGTAAAATTATGTATATGTTATTTTCCACCAAAAACAAGTCATTAATCTATTATATGAATCATTTCACTCGAATCGATGAATATAAGTTTTATTTTTTTTTTCTTCAATTTCCAAACTGGTTCAAACGTTCGACGAAACACTGTTATGTTCGTGTCTTAAGTCTTTTGATTTATTTCTGTTGTGGCCCCCATTTAACGATGTTTGACCTTAAGAAAACAACTCTGTGATGACAACTGGAAATAATTACCAACCAAATAATTATTACACAATACAATCCACAAAATTGTATTGAACAAAAAAAAACAGAAGAAGTGACGAGTTGTAAATAAATGAAAAAAAAAAATAAAATAAAAATAATAAAAAACCGCAAATTAAATAAACCTTAATATGCGTATTGGGGTCACAACACATTAACAGATACTTCAGATTGTCTGCAATCTCACGGCGATGCCCCACTTTAACCACAGAAAATAGTGAAGTGGAGATAAATCCAAAAAAGCAAAAAAAAAAAAAAACAACAAAAACTAATCAAAACGAATTCAATGAAACGAGGGATAGGGGAAAAAGGCGACAAGAAACAAATTTTACGCACAACAAGCGATGAGCAGAAATGCAAATTTCACAAGTGTTACGAAAAAAGCAACTCAAACAAAGGCAGCAATAAATAATGTGATAAAAAATAAAATAAAATAAAAAATAAAAGAAAAAATGTGAAACTTACCCAAACTAATGAGAAATGCAGTTAAACGCATTTTGTGCACTTGGTTGGCAGTCAAATATCCAAGGGATGAAATGTAAGTTTATATTTCAGCGTAACAGTCTTCCAGAAGCATTTGCCAGGAAACGGAAGTAAAATTATCTCTGGTTTGTTTTATCGGTTTCAAATTCCAAAATCTTTCGTTGTTGTTATAGTTTTTATTTTTTTTTTTCTTTTCTTTCTACCACAGATTATTTAACACAATTTTAATGAAGAAAAAAAACAAAAGATGACGAAGACGAAGAAGGGCCGCTACGAACCAAATAATGGACGGACAAAAGCTTCGATATGCCAGTTTATGGCTGACTAAAGTCAGCGTCAACTCTGAGCAATCGACTAAAGCAAACAATGAAAATGAAAGTGTTGGACGATTTTTTTCTGAATGCTTCTTATTATTGTTTTTTGTTGTTGCTTCTGTTATCTTCGTATTTCAATGGCTGGCTGGTTAAACGTCAGGCAGTCAGTCACTCACAGCTTTAACTACCAATTACCAATTTGTTAGCAATTTTTACTCTCGCCACTATTTTTTTTTTATAAAAAAAAAATAAATTTAATTATTTAGTTGTCGGACGTTTTTTTTCACTTTTCTGCACAGCGTTAATGGCTCTTGTTTTGTCGTTTTTCTTAAATGACTTTAATCTCAAAAGTAAACATTAAACACAAATTTACACAACTCAAAATTTTGTTGCTGTTGTTGTCATATTTTGCAATAATTTGTTTTAATTTTTTGTTATTTATTTTCTTATTTAATAATTTCACTTTTTCGGGCCACTTTACCAATTCGACGTCGTGCTACGTAAATTGCAACAAATTATTATTGGCGTTATGTCTCAATTTGTTGTTTTGTGGATTCAAAAATTCAATTTCGATTCAAGTCTTGCCAACGAAACCTTCCGCTATTCCTTCCGTAATCGTGCCAAGCACGTCTGTGACTGTTTCATAGTTTTCAATTTTAGTTTTGGCATCAGCTGCGTTCGGTGTAAAAAACAAAGTTTTGCGTGGTTAAGTAAAGCACAACTTCGTTGAAGTCGCAGCGCTCAAGTTGTCGCTGAAGCAACAACAACAACAAGAGCTGCCAAGAGAAACGTCCCAATAAAATAGCTTTAACACAATATTGATATGCTGCGGGGTACACTGAAAGAAAACTTCGTCAAGTTGAATCAATCTTATGCTGAATATCATGGACAAGACAAAACGGTCTTGGGTGACAGTCGATACTTAATTACATTTTCATTGCAGATGATTTAATCGGTTTCCTTTAGCCTAAGGGCGACATTTCTTTCAAGTTAAATAGTATCAGTCAGTTTGATCGACTACTTCCTCCCCTTTATTTGAGATGGTACATATTTTTTTGGAAAATTTTAACTCCTGTTAAAATACATTTTTATTTTATGACTCTTGTCTTATTTACAATTTTGGACCCTTGGAGGAGGTATCAAAAGTATAGGGTCCAAAAATTCCATATTCACATCAATTTTTCAAGCATTGAGATATGCATAGTTTAAAGGTAATCCCTGAAATGTTTCACAAGTTATTAGGCTTATAAGTAGCCAAAATGTTGACCCTCTGCGTGAGAGGTACGAGAAGGAATGATCCGATAAATCCCGTATTCACATCAGATGTCTGGTCAAACTAAATATTTAGATATCCCAAGTTTGAATGGAATAGCTGAATAAGTAGTTAATGTTATGAAAGATGTAAGTAGTTAAAATTGTGAACCTTTGTTGGGGAGGTACCTAAAGGGGTAAGGCGGTATCTATAACTACAGAATTTATCTTTGTAAAAATATTAAGATATACGAAACTTGAAGAGAAACGGATTCTTCTTTCGCATTTTATGAGAAATATAATTATTCAAAATATTGATCCGTTGTGGGGAAGCTAGTAGAAGGAGTAGTCTGACATAATCCATCTTCACATCTGATCTTGTGTCGACAAAAATATTGAGATGCGCTAAGTTTGAAATTAATCGGTTACTCATTTCGTGTTCTATGATCCCTTATTATTCCAAATGTTGATCGTTTTGTGGAGTAGGTGCTAGGAGGGGAGGAACGATATATCCCATCTTCACACCAAATCTTGCGTAAGTAAGAATATTTGGATGTATGGAATTTAAAGAGATACGAATGCTTAATTCGCATTTTATGAGATAAGCTGAACGTGCTTCACTACCCCTTTTGATTAAATATGCATTCAAAATTGTATATACAAATATTTTGTGGTTCTAATAAAACAAATTTAAGAATTAAACCAGTAAAGAAAGGCCAAAGTCGGGCAGGGCCTACTTTGTGATACCTTCCAGCACTTTGCATACTTAGAAGAGCTACATATAACAAATAAAGGTTTTTCTAGGGAATTTATGATAAATAGCAAGTTAAAAAGCAATAAGTTCGACTGGGCCGAACTTTGAATACCCTCCACCATTTGGAACGAACTTGAAAAATTTCAAAAAATAACATTCTTAAAAAATTCTTTTAAAATTTTAAAAATACCGAATATAGCCGTTATATTGGGGTCTATACTACGTGGATCTACATAGGCATTGTTTGTCATAAGCCATTACCACATTCAAATTCGAAACTTGAAATAAACAATGAATAATGTAGCTAAAATCGTCAAAATATCGTACATAGGGAGGTACCGTTATATCGGAGCTGTGCGAAGACCTGTACCAGCATAAACAATTTTCTGTCACACGCTATAACATCCATTATGAACTTCAAATACGACATCTCAAAGAATTTCGGTGGGTATTGTACCTAAAATCGTCAAAATACCGAATATAGGGAGGTACAGATATATAGGGCCTATACGAAGACCTGAACCTACATAGACAATTTTATGCCACAGACATGTAGTTCCCATTACGAACCTTAAATACGTAATTTGAAACTACCCCGTTGAATAATGACGCTAAAATCACCAAAATACCGAATTTTGGGAGTTACCGTCATATGGGGGCTATACGAAGACGCTGTAGTATCCAGTCATAGGCTGTAGTATCCATTACGAAATTCAAATACCAAATTTGAAACAATTCCGGTTAATAATGTCGCTAAAATCATCAAAATACAGAATATCGGGAGGTACCGTTATATGGGGGCTATATGAAAAGGTTGACCTACATGGCCCATTTACGAACTTAACCTGCCTACTGGAAAAATAAACATGTGTGCAAAATTTTAGCCTTCTATCTCTATTCGTTCGAAAGATTGCGTGATTACAACAGACAGACGGACGGACAGACAGACGGACATCGCTAAATCGAATACATATACTTTGTTGGGTCTGACATGAGTATTTCGAGGAGTTACAAACGGAATGACAAAGTTAATATACCCTCCATACTATGGTGGAAGGTATAAAAAATACCAACTATTATCGTTATTAAATGCATAAGCCGAATCATACAAATTCATCCAATTTGAGCTGATAGTACACTTTTTACATGCGAAATACACGTTTATAAATAATTTTTACTTTACACTGCTCCAGAACGAATTTTGTCTCATATTTCTTGGCCGTCCAACGCCTACTGGGGAAACAAGTGGCGTGGCAGACCCCGGAGTATACGATCTGCAGAGAATATGCTGCTTTAGTCGAAGATGTCATGGAAGCGCCGTCGACATCGACCAGACGACGTGCCACGCAAATGGGTATCAGTCTACGGTCTTTACAGCAAATTTTGCTACAAAGTCCAGATGGTGCATCAGCTATTAGCTGCTGACCGCCAATCGCGTCTAACATACGATCAAGCCATCCTTATTCACCACCAAGAAGAAGATGATTTTTCATCAAAAATAATTATGAGTGATGAAGATGGAAATCTTAGCGCTCAAATTTCGCTAAAATAATTATTTTACATAAATTATTAATATATAAATATGATTCCATAGGTTTCTCGTCAATACTTCTAAAATGGATATCATCTTATTTACATGACCGCGCCCAAATGTTGACTCATTCCTGGATCTTACATTTTAATTTACATAAAAAGTCTTGTGTCAATAAAGCCTAGTTATTACTAGGTTTTATAAGACGTTGGTCTACGGAATTCTGCGATCCTTATGTGACCAAACACTTATTTATCATCTTTGCTCGACCTACTTTAGAAGAGGGTTGTGCACTTTGGAGTTTTTATACCCTCAGCCATATGGCTACAGAGGGTATATATCATTTGATACGGTCAAAACGTGCCCAGTCGAAATAATGGTTTAAGACCCTAGGTCTCTTTGGACCAAATCCGGTTCAGAACATTTGGAGTCGATCTACCGATGTCCGTCCGTCCGTCTGTCTGTCTGTCTGGCTGGTGCGCACGATAACTCTCGAAGGGAGTATCCGATTTGATTCAAACTTGGTACATCGTAATATTTTTGTCAAACTTAGATCGAGTTCGGAGATGAGCAATATCGGCCCATTCCTTCTGGTACCTCTCACACAAAATGTCAAAATTTTAAAAGAAAATAATTTATTGCACAGAAAGATAAAGGATAATCCGATTTTGCTCGAACTTTGCGAATCCTCATATTTTCATCACTGCTAGGTCATGTGCGAAAATGGACAATATCGGTCCACTCCATCAGGGACCTCCCCCACAAAGGGTCAAAATTTTGAATAATTAAAGCTCTTATAAAATGTGATGTAAGACTCCGATAGTCTTCAAATTTCACATATCCCAATATTTTATTAACACAAGGCCTGGTGTTAAGAGGCAATGCATCGGTCCACTTCTTTTGGTACCTCCCCCACAAAAGGTCAAAATTTTCAAAAAATATATATGCAATATATTTTTTACAAAGAAAGAGAAACGATTAGCCGATTTTGCTCTAACTTTGCAAATCCTAGTATTTGCGTCAGTGCTAGGTCGGGTGCGAAAATGGACAATATCGGTCCACTCCATCAAGCACCTCCCCCACAAAGGGTCAACATTTGGAATTATTATAACTCTGAAATAATGTGATGTAAGGATCCGAACATCTTCAAATTTCACACATTTCAGTATTTTTATAAACCCAAGATCTGGTATTAACATGGGATGTATCGGACCACTCCTTCTGGTACCTCCCCCACAAAGTGTCAAAATTTTGAATACCCATAAAGCTCATAAAACACCAAATTTACATCAGATTCCATTTAGACTTGGCACATCTCAATATTTCTATCACCACAAGATCTGTTATAAAGGTTGTATAGATTGAACCATTTCTTCTCCCCTATACATAGGGTTCAAGTTTTTTAAAAACAAAACACTCAAATAAAGCGAAATATATATGAGTCGATATAACCAGGAACGTCGGAATATTTATATCCCATTTTTGGGTCCGATACGAAATGGACAATATTGGCCCATTCCTTCAGAACCTGCTCCATAGAGGGTCAAACGTTTGAATAATATTAATACTAGTCAAATTATATTTAAATAATCGAACACAGGCTGAGGGTATATATCTGTCGGCAATACCGACTGATACTTTTTAACTTGTTCTATTTATTTCCGTTCAAAAAAGATACTACATTTCTCTAAGTGTATGTAAATATGCATACATAAACACGTATGTTTTCAAGCTGGAATATTTCATTGAAACGCTTATTACAATTTGTTCATCAAAAGCTATCTACATAAACATCAAGACGAGTACATGTACACATATAATAATAAATGAAATGTGTTATTACAGTATCGCTTCGGTATATTATGACGATTATTAATTTGTTAGCATTTCCATCAAATTACATCTTATTAACTCCTTGCTATGGATAATAAAGTCGAGAGCTAAATGTAACCAAATTTAAGTTATTTCATTGTTTACGCTATTCGTGGTTATAAGGTCATAAGATATCTTATACCCCCAACCTTTTGTCCATAGAATACATTAATTTTTTTATTAACTGATGCTGTGTTAATACCCTCAGCCATATGGCTAGAGTGAGATAAAAAAACTGCAACAAA